TTAGTCCACAATGACATCATACAATCCGATCGTGAGGTCACCAAGTAGCCAACCGCACTTGTTGAGCAGACCAAATGAATGAATGCTAAAATCCAGCGGAGATGTTCTGCAGAAAAATTATTCGGACATTACCTTAGAGCTATTAGAACAGGGTTAAGGGCAAATTGTGTGAAATATAAAAAATGCTTTTTACGGTTATGCTTGTAGAGTACGTCAAGTTCATCTGTTATGATGAGTTTATATACCTTCGTAGATCCCAAGAGTAGTATATTTATAGTTCTTTAGGTTACTCCCCGAATTAAAGTGCATAGGTGCGTATAAACTAGGGACAAAATGTACTCTGAGAACATACAACCCTATGCACCGACAGTAAATCCACGTTTAGAAATGTGCCTTATCATAGCTACACAACGGAAATTATTCTCATTTGTAAGATCTAGCTGTGCACACATCTGCAGAGACCTCATGTGCAGAGAAAACGCAATCGAAAATAAGGTTCGCTTGCAGATGTGCGCATTTGTACGCGTTTTTCGTCTTCGAATTGATGCATGGCAGATCGTTTTTGAGCCAGTCACTATCACAGACCAGCAGTGAATATTTGCAACCAGACTGCTAGAAGATGAATAAGAAATAACTTCTAGCAGGCCTTCAACAAAGCGGAAATGAATTGGCAGATTATACTCGGCTAAAATTCTGCCAGATGTTATGATGAGACATGTTTGCCACTGGCCGGTCGGGATAAACGCGCGTATATTAAGGTCACAATTGGAAATCGATTAATGTTAGCTGTAGTCTGTCCCCCCTTGAGCATCGGTCAGTCCATCGTCTTGACTGCCCTAGTGGCTGTCATCGTCAACATCGCGCTAGCTCTATTTACCCCGGGAGTTAAATTATCTAGGGGCTTTGCGGGAACTTGACGTAATAATCCCACACTCCAATTTGATCAAACGCGGCTAAACGGAACTGCGTCGTTTTCCCCTTCTTCACCCTCTTCCACAGGCCTCTTATTTGCAGTGGACCGACTGCCTCAACATTCTGCCGCCAGTATTCATGTGCAAAAAAGGGAGAATACGGGCCGTCGACGCAGTTGAATAGAAATGAATTTTCCCTTTCTTCAATGTCATCTAATCGGTAGTTCTAGTATCTTAGTTTTACTTCTGCGGCTTAGCTGGGTTTTGTCCGACCAGCCATAAGTATGCGTTTGTATAAACAAATGTCAATCAACCATACACAGAACTGCTGAACCAGTTTAATTTACTGACAAGTACCTCACACTCAGGATGCTTAAACGTGTAGTGTTTGGGCGTGTACTTCACCCGAGAGATACCTAAAGCGGTTAGGCCGCTGTCAAAGTGAATAAAATGTTTTTTTAAATGCTGGAATCAATTGCATTTCGCATGCCTCTGAGATCGCGCACGGTCACAGTTACACCAGCTGTTAAGCCAAGCACTTAATAAACAGCTGACTCGAAGACGACTGCCTAGTCAAGTTTGGCGTGAGCCGGGCCCAGCAAACAAAACCGACACCGCTCGACGTCTAAATGACAGTGACGTGATCAGCACACTTGTAGCTAGCACCACGATCAGTAGGCGATTACGGAGTCGGACTTTGGTAGATAGACATCGTCTTTCGGTCGTCTCACATACTCCGAGTGCCAGTACATTTAACTTTAATTAATCCTTATGAGTTAATTTAAGGCAAACACAAACGTACCTGTATGCCTCATCCACGAAAAGCCTGAATTCACACAGAGGCTTGGAAAGGTTGAAATTGGGGAACTGGCGCTCTGATGAAGATGGCTCTTCTGCGGAAGGCATGCTGTCATAGGTGATGGGTTTGCAGTCCTGCCCGTGTCCGGATGGGATTTTGCCGTAAAGGCGGTTTTGGTGGAGGCTGTATCGATGTCGTTTTGGCATATAGGGAACTGCATTCCTAAAGGGGGACTAGTATTCACATAGTTGTGCCGTCCGGTCTGTTCCCCTGTCTGGAAGACGGTGTCCATTTCCAGATCCGTCATTGGAAGGGCAGGCGGCCAGAGAAGAGGAGGCTGCTTGAGATCCACCGTGGTGGCAGCAGAGGCGGCCATTTTCATCGACTCTAAAACTGTCTCTCTCTGCCACTGTTGACGCAAGGAAGTGAAGAACTGAAGTGCATCAATATCAAGGAAATTCTTTGCCGGAGCTGCAACACCACGGAATAGTTGGCTACGTTCAAGTTCTGAGTAATGCAATCCGGTCTTTTTGACTGTTTCATGTTGTGTTGGCGTCGTTGTTTGACTCTTTGGTTCCGCGTTACCATCAGCTTCCGTCTTCGGATAGTTTGTCGGCACTGAGTGCTCCAGAGGGGGCTGAGTAGATGGAGATGAGTGGGACCTGTATCTCCGTTTGCCTTTTACAGCAGGTTCATCATCTTCCCCCTCCTCAACGCTCCTAGGGGAAGAATCTCCAAGAATGTCGCGAATAGCGTGTGATGTCTTCTTTGAGCTCCGGTCAGACTTGTTGATAGCACTGGTAACGTCTGAATTCCAGCCATTTTTAGTTACTGGCGGAGGCATCCCGTCTGGGGGAATTGGCGGCACCTGGTAGTCGGAAGTTGGCTGCGATAGAGAGGGAAAGGCGAATGAACTAGTGCCCAACATTCCGCCGGAAGTGAGAGCAGCGAGAATATTCGAGAATAATATTCGACTGAAATCGGACGTGTACGGAAGAGGTCCTGACATTTTTGGAAAATCACTTAGCGATGTCCCCCTGGCGACACTGGAGGGCGAATAGGTAACTTCATATGTGGGACTCTGTGAGCACGCTGTGTTACTTGTAGGCAGGTCGGAGTACCTGTTCGGTGAATTTTGAGTAGAAGGAGGCGGAGATAGGTCTTTGTCAAGGCGAGCTTTTTTCTGACTGGAAGCAGATGTCAGCAGGCTTGAGTCAGGGCTCGAGGTGCTGAGCCGCTTGCCAGAGAATACCGCAGAGGACTCAAAAGTCGGATTTGGTGAGAACCGTTGGACCGATTCAGCCTTAGAAACCTGCGCAAGTAGAGGAGTCGCACCAAAGAGCACCGATGAGCTCTCGATTGTCTCCATGAAATCAAACACTGCTGGGGCTCCGGCGTAGGTTGTAGGAATGATGAAAGGAGACTGCGTTCCTAGAGGAAAGATCTGGGTGACGGAAAGTCGCAAGGTCCAACTCTCTGATGACGAACGTTGACTGTTTCTCACTCGCACGGGAAGTTGGGGGGGCAGAAAATGCAGCGACTGATAAATATGGACAATATAACCTGTCAATGCGCTGTCAGCCTGCGACGCAGTCCCGCCACTTAGACTGTATTGAAATATGACTGGATAACCAGTCAGGGAGCGAACGGGCGAGCAGTGACAGAGAGAATGTGCGCACGTGCGTGCAACCAGTGTGATTTCACACGCATAAGTGCTCGCGTGCTGCCACTGTAAGATGATCCGGCGGGGTGCCAGACGGGTCTCTCGAGTGCGCGTGCGTATGTGCGTGTGACAACGGATACTGCCGCACCATCCGCAGGCAGAAAGGGAGGGAAAATAAGCGATTTCAGAGGGGACGTGGGGAGACAGGGGGGTATGACCCCCCCCACCCTGAGGATGCGCGCCGTCACTGCCTGCTCGAGCCCTGTCCGCATTGGCTGGAAGTACAGCAGAGGTGCGAGGCCGGCAGCATCCAGTGCGGGAAACGAGAGAGAGAGAGGGCCGGCTGCTGAGGCAGCAACAATACGCACAGAGCCAAAACGCCGAATAACATTGACAGCAGCTAGTGGTGACCACTAAGCCAATCGTAATCTTCTAGAGGAGGTAAACACCAACCAGGGGGCGGTGCCAATGAAAGCGATTACAACCCACCTTCGGGGGAAGATTACGCAAGTGATTTCTAGAGTTCTGAAAAAGCTGTAAGTCGTCAAGTGACGAATCCTATGATGCCGATAGACTGCTGGTGGCGGAGACTTAAAAATGAAGTTTATGCGAATGAAGTGCATTTTGCGGTCTTTGCTATCATCTCTAGTGTCAGTGTTTCGATTGAAGTGTTGCGGCGATCATTTCTCTTCTCATTCGCATCCCCACATTGTAACATTACCGACCAAGACGAGGGAGATTGGAATGGCCATTTGTGGCCGTCGTCAGCCAGTCATACCCAACCTCGCGGTGTGCAACACCGGTACTGTCACTCCGTCTATATTAGGTCCCGCTGAGCGGCTGCTGGTTGGACTCGAGAGAGAGCCCGAGGCACAACGGGACGAGAGAGTCCTGTGCCGCGAACGGTGAATGCCCCTCTTCTAGGTCACTCATCATTTTGGGAGACAGAACTATCCTTATCATACCAGAAACCCGCGAATTCTGGCAAATGGACACTCAGTGATGATGACGACTGATAAGCCAGAGATGGATACTACGGTATCCGTTGTCTTTGTCGACGCCATCTTCTCTACTCTGTGAATTGTAAAAGATGAGAGGGAAGCTCGGATTCAGGTATAATGGGTCCCGATTTTTGGAGAGAGCATACCAGCGGACCCTGTAGAAGGGCAAAACTTCCTTATTTAGGAAACTCCCATTCATCGGTCTCACAATGTGGGGCAGGAGTGCGTAAGTAAGCCTGAACCACTTTTGTTTTAGAGCGACTGGGACTTGACCAGCTATTCCTACCGACAACTTGAATTCATACTATACCCCAACCCCTGCAATTAGGCGTTATGATTATTAGGACCTGAAGCAGGAGATGACGGTGGAAGCCATACGTGTTAACCCACAACATGAAACCCACTTTTGTCTATCATGGTCCTGTCGTATCCTTTATAGACTCCGCCTCGTTTCAAATTGTCCTCTGTATTAACACAATATTAGCTGAGAAAGACCTGATTATAAACTATTGAAGTATCCTGGGTTTGAACTGCAGACGGACATCGCGTGTCACAGTGCTAGTTTTGTTGATACTCGCCGAAAACATCCTTTTACACCGGACGATGTGCGTAAGAACAGCTCTTCATATTACTGAAAGCATTCTCCTTTGAAGATGCATTGTCAGAAAGACTTCAAAATCGACGCTATGTCCCGCGACCCACGCACAGGGATATCCGTTTTCATACAAGTCGTTATTTCCCATAACCCAGAAGCCAGTCCACTGGTCGAAAAGACCCAAGCGTCACACTCCGATAGGCCAAAATATAACAGGATAAGGGCCTCAGCGTTGTTGACCTCCAAGTGAGCACTTCTTGATATCTAAAAGGCGTTTATTCACACAGAATAGGCCCTATTTACTAATAACAGGAAAGATCACTTCAGATATCTCATTATTCGTCAATATCTTATAGTCTCTCCCAACTCTGAAGACTGAGATGCCTACGTATGGTTCATTGGGCGTCTCTGGAAGACCGCATTTCGCTCATGATCAAACGTAACGTGACTTTTACACGAATAGAAGGCAAAGTTATTCATGAAGATGCTATGAACCTTTCCATGTACACATGGAGCACGACAGAGCAGACTTGTGCAGACATCCACAGAACACGCACCTCACATGTGGGTCACGGTTATGAAAAGATTTTTTTCGTTTTAATCTGTAGACCGTCCGAAGGCGCGCAGCAGCATGGACGGGTTAGTCAGTGCTGGCTCCTCTCGATCTTTGCTGGACAAATCAGTTCAGACGCGACGCGTTATTCTGTTAATTGGCGTCCTTATCGTTGGCAGCTTCCGTGCCAAGTAAGTAATTTGGTCACTGTTCGTTATTTCTTCACAACATAAAGTCATCTTTACCACTAGAGGCGAGCTGCCGGAAGCGAACCGCGTCCGTGTTTTAGAATTATAGGCGTATGTATTAGCAAGGAATAAGAAGACTGGTCGAGGAGCTGGGAGGTATTTTTCGCCCGAGAGGCAGCATAGTACGAGCAGATACGTTTTTGTACAAACTTACCCAAGACGGACGAACGCTGCGACACCTATCGACACGGCTATGGAAAGAGAAGCTGTGAGGCGGTTTACCAAGCAGATGGTGAGAAGCACAAGGCAATGATTGAGAGAAGAGAAGGGAGTGTGTCAACATTCTTGATGATTCCGTCGCCGAGGACCCTGGAAAAACAACCTCTAGGCTGGTACATCACAAACAGGCTGCGAAGCGAGCCATCGTGGACAGAAACTAGCTAAGTTACAATCAGCAGACACGGCCAGAACAGATAACAGTTAAACAGCTAATAGGGTTGCAGCTACGCGTACTATGGCATGCAACCTGTTTCAACACCGCAAACACCGGCTCGGTTGACTTCACTGCAGGCCTGTAAGCCATGATTGTGAGAAGTGAAGCAGCCGACGGCAAGAAACACTCCATCCGACAACTTCTTACTCCCTTGCTGATGGCGCGCAGCAGAGTGAATGAAGAGTTATGAGAGAACTGATAAGGATTAAAAACTGTCGCTATGAAACGAGAATACTACAATGAGAGGACCAAAACTCTGATTAATGACAGAGAATTGTGCAGACCAACGCAGAACTCACATACCAGAGCAGTAGCAAGTCGGCTGAGCAAACACTGCACAAACGGTGCACAACATGTGATCCATGAGAATGAGTGTTGTCAAGTGAAACCTACAGTCACTGCCCTGACTCGATTCTATAGTCTGACAAAGGACAACAAACCAACTGCTGCATTACGACTAATCGTCGCCCTAAAAGGCAAATGGATGTACTCAAAACGGAAGTTCCTCCAAGGTAATTCAACTATCTCATTCCGGTCAGCCCTCGAATTCCCAGTAGACCTCCGAGGTCCGCGGATTCAGTAGGACAGAATCACGGTTTCCATCGAAGTATCGTCATTCACATCCATCCCACCGAATTTGGCGCACGACGTCTTGCGAGGAAACCCCAGGAGGCCTACGATGAAACACAGAGCCCGCCCAAAAAGGAGCGTTTCGGGCGGCTGCCTGAATTTTACCAAAAAGCTTTATCTTTGCGAAAAAAGGACATTCCAATGGGCTCCAAGATCTCTGATTTAATGGTAGAATTGGTCCTACAAGAGATGAAAAAGATAGCCTTCGTCCAACGGGAGACGATTTCTTGACGCCGTCACGTTGATGGCACGTTTCTTATCATAAGGAAGAGCATGCTGCATAACTTCCATGATCCGCTCACCTCAATCCTCCTAGGTGTACAGTTCGCGAGGGAAGAAGAGAAGGAGCGTCGGCTGCTCTTCGTTGATGAGCACGTCAGGCGACATCCCAACGGCGAAATAGAAACAACGGTTTACAGGAGGGCATCGAACAGCATGCAATTTCGCAGCTTTCACAGCAATCATCCGGTGGCGCACAAACGAAGCTGTGTGAGGACACTCTTCTAACGGGTTCAGGTTTGCTGCAGAAAGCCGGAAGAAAAAGCACAAGACACCCGATATCTCCGCGACCACTTTATGTACATTGGCTATCGGAAGGCATTTGCAAGCCGATGCCAGTGTGTTCGCTCCGGGAGGACCCAGGTGGAAGCACCACCGATGATTTGGCATACTCTGCCAAACACAAAGGATGTTTCAGAGGTGACCGGGTGCGTTGTAGGGGAACTCGGTGTTGGTATTGTACGCCGGCCCAGAGCTACCATGTGCGGTAGGATCTCAGAAATCAAGGAACGATCAAGTCCCAGGGAGCAGTCGTGTGTAGTGTGTCGTACCCCATGTGCCCTCAGAACGGGCCACGTGGTAGATGCGCTGGACCAAAACGGGGGCCATATCGGACTCTGGCAGGCGTTATCTGTGCGCAATAACAAATGCCAACATTTGCGGGGTGCGCTGGCGGACCCTGTTGTCGGCATTCGTCGCTCAACTGGACCACTGCTGCCACCCCATTGTTTTGTGGTCAAAATCCTGGTCATTTGTGTATGGACCAGGGGGTGCGGAGTGGAGCGCCAAGGCGAGGATCCGTCCGAGCCATCCACTTGCGGCCTCCCCCGTCTCCGGTCTTCTTGACTCTGTCTTGACACCGGGCTCAGGCGGGGGAGGAGGAGAGAGTGTAGGTAGATGCTACGCAAGTCTACTGGCACTATAAACCCCTGCGTAAGTCACCGTCCCTGGTCCCACAATGCAGTCT